TTGGATATATCAGCTTCGTCTGGCTTAGGTCTGGCTGCTGTGCTCAGCTCCTTCCTGCTGCGGACCAGGGCTAGGACTGGGTCTGGGGGTTCCCGGAAGTTGGCAAAATTCCTACTTAGCGGGAGGGTTGGAGGAGGTACAGAGGAGGGGTGGGGGGCCGCCTAAGGGGGTGGGAGAGGGTCCGGCCCACCCTGCGCCTGGGCTGGGACTGGTCCCACCGGCGCACGGTAGCAGGAAACTCTCCGCACACTCACCGGACCTGGGCTAGGACTGGGTCTGGGGGCTCCCGGAATAAGGCAGAAAATCCTACTGGGCGGGCGGGTTGGGGGAGGCACTGAGGAGTGGTGGGGGGTGGCCCGAGGGGCTGGGAGAGGGTCTGGCCCAAGCTGTGCCTGGGCTGGGACTGGTCCCGCCGGCGCAGGGTAGCATGAAACTCTCCGCACACTCACCGGACCTGGGCTAGGACTGGGTCTGGGGGCTCCTGGAACATGGCAGAAAATCGTACTCGGCGGGCGGGCTGGGGGAGGCACTGCGGAATGGTGTGGGGCGGCCCGAGGGGCTGGGAGAGGGTCCGGCCCACGCTGCGGCTGGGCTGGGACTGGTCCCACTGGCGCAGGGTAGCAGGAAACTCTCCGCACACTCATGGGACCTGGGCGAGGACTGGGTCTGGGGGCTCCCGGAACTCGGCAGAAAATCCTACTTGGCAGGTGGGTTGGGGGAGGCACTGAGGAGTGATGGGGGGCGGCCCGAGTGGCTGGGAGCGGTTCCGGCCCACGCTGCCCCTGGGCTGGGACTGGTCCCGCCGGCGCAGGGTAGCAGGAAACTCTCCGCACACTCACCGGACCTGGGCTAGGACTGGGTCTGGGGGCTCCCGCAACTTGGCAGAAAATCCTACTGGGCGGGCGGGTTGGGGGAGGCACTCTGTCATTTTTCTAAAGTCTCTTTTTTTTTTTAAAAAAAATCAGTGTCTTCTTTAGAAGCATTCATTATTTCTTTTACTGCGGAGTTTTTTTAGGATTGAATTTCTTGCATATGTGTCTGCATTTGATTCTTTACTTCGCATGCTGTGAATTCAGAGATTTCTTTTTATTTCAGAGATTACTTCTGCTCTGAATTCCTCTATACCTTTCTGCTATTGTTTCTTTGCTTCTGATTCTATTAATTCATACATTTCAGCTGAGTTAGTGTCCTCTGCACTTGTTCTGCGTGGGCTTGAGGCCTGAGATTGCATTTTGCTCCTTGTCTTTTTCATTTAATATAGCGCTGACCTCTAAACTTTGGTGTAGAGGTTTGGTGCAGTTATAACCTTGGCACTTACTGAAATTTGGGTGCAGATGTATTAGATTTGAGTTTATCCAGTTATGCCTGTCCTCTGGTGCCCCACTTTTGTGCCCCTGGCCCAGGGGGCACAGGAGAACACAGAAACTCTCCCACACACTAGTTGTGGCAGGGCTTGGGCTGGATCTGGGTGTGCAGAGAGCATTGTAGAAGTTCTCTCTCACTTGATTGGCTTCAGAGCATAGTCTCTGGAAGGTGGATGTGTCTGGAGGACACAGTATAGGGTCTTACTCATCCTGCCATGCCTGAGATTTGATTAGGAGAGGTCCTGCGGGTGCAGAGCAGCCAGAAGCTCTTACATACACTCACTGGGCCTGGGCTGGGCTGGATCTGGGGTTCTGGAGAACTTTGTAGGAAATATCACTTACTGGGAGGATTTGTTAGAAGTGGCTCCAGGGTTACAGGTGTCCCGAGGACATGGTAAAGGGTCTCATTCAGGCAACATGTCTGTGTTTTGGTCCAGAGAAGTCCCACAGGTGCAGTATATCTCCTTAATGAGCAAGTAAACAGTTTGAATTTTAACCCTCAAAAAAACTATGAAAATTTTACATTTTTTCTTAAATAATTTTATTTTTTGAATTATTTTTTTT